AGTGGTGCTCCAGATGTTTTGGGATTGCACCCAAGGTGCTTATAACTATTGGTACTATCTTCATTTTCTTTTCCCATAGTCATTCTACTTCAATTTGCAGGTCTTTATATTTTGTGATTTTTCTCCAGTTCTTTCTCTTCTGTTCTGCTATCACCAGATATTGCAATGTATTATTATTATTATTATTATTATTATTATTATTATTATTATTATTATTATTTTGCTGCATAGTTTTGAAACTGTTTGCCCAACCTCAAAATTGCATATAGAAGTGAACGAGCCCTAGAGAGGATCTTTAACTACCCCAAGGATCATAGTTAAGGCATATGAATGCTATCCAGAAGAAAAGTCCTTGAAACAAGGGCCTATGCAATGTATGAAGACGTAATGCACTTAGGCCTCTTACAAACCTATTTATTTCCAGGGACTTTTTAAAAAAAGGCAAAAAAGCTGAGACTAAAAGTGAATGAAGCTGCAAAATCATGTTCAGGACATGTTGGGTACTAGACATCGAGCCAAAAATGTGACAACTGACAAGTGTTGGAACTGTGAAGGAAGAGAAAGAAATCCCCTTCTGTTGGATGGAACATTAAGTAAGCAATATACTGGAAAGAAATAAAAGTCAGAAAAAATATAATCAGAAATCCTGATCTTCAGACTTCTGGGGAAGAAATGGTGAACTGAAAGCAGAGCCGACAACTGTACAGAATGAAGAGTCAGCAAGCAGACCTATTGTTTGTAACTTCCCTCCGGACAAGGAGAGGACTTGAGATCGCCCACAAGTGCTCCAGACAGTTGCTCCTTGCGAGGAGACCGCAAGATGGCAGGTTTAAAGCTCTGGGAGACAAGGGAAAGCCATCTTTTCCCTCAAACCACAGTCAGCACCTTTTCAAAGGACACTGGGTTTGCATACTTCCTTTCCTAATCACTTTCAGAAATTGCTTGTTAACTGCTGTTCAGCTATTAGGAACCTTTGGATTGACAAGCCTGAAAACACCGGGTGAGTTTCCTTCAATCCTTAGTGAAAGAAGTTTTAAATACAAGTTTAAGGACCTAAAAAAAAAAAATTTTTTTTTTTTTGGAATAAGCAGCAAAAGAGTGATTAGAACTTTGATTTTGGAAAGTTACAAACAGACCAAGGGTCCAGATAAATTTGAAATAAAATTTTGGAATTAATTATAAGAATCCTTCCTGTGCAAAAATGCTTTTGCTTTGAATTCTTAAAAAAAAACAAAAAACATGATAGGATGAGACTTTGAAGGTTGGACACTAGAGAGAACCAGAAGGAACTAAAGATTATAATTAAAGGAGAATAACACTTAAATTTGACTTACTGATACAGAATGGAGCAAAATACCTTAACACTGGATGTACTGAAGGATATTTTTGAACAATGAACCCAGAAGTTAATTCGCTGCCTCTAGAGACAGACTGTGTTTCAAAGATGTTATGGAAGAGGAACAAGTTTTACCAAACAAGACTGGGACTGATCTGAAAGTGGATTTTAAAATAACAGGCCACAAGAATGACATGGAAGAAGATGCTACACTGGACATACAAAAGAAACCAGCTGATGTCTTAATAATTAAAAGGGATATACAAATCATGGAAGAAGATGCTACACTGGACATACAAAAGAAACCAGCTGATGTCTTAATAATTAAAAGGGATATACAAATAACAAACCAAAACAGTGACTTGGATAACTTTCCTATATTGGATTTACAAAAGAGGCTTGTTAATGCTTTGAAGAATTTTGTGAGAAGAGACAAAGAAAAAATGAAAAGAAATCAAGTTCTAGGACATTATTTGAACAGATTAATGATCAAAGTTGTCAAAGGGGAGGAATATAAAGTTGGTTTATATGATCAGGGTTAAAATAGATATGTTGTTACCTCTGGTAACTCTTAATGGACTTTTGCTGATCAGAACTGGACAATGAGGTTTTATGGATTTGTTTATAAATAAGAAATGGGATATGGGAAGAAGAGATCATTTGTTGTATTTTAAGAGAAGTTACTAAAATTGTTTATACTTGTTTGTTGTGATGAAGGAGGTAGTCATTTCTTTCTATATTTCTTTTTCTTTATTATATTATTTTTTCTTTCTTTTTTCTATTTCTTTTTCTTTTTTCTTTTCTGCAGTTTCTATTTTTTTATTCTTTTATTTTTCTTACTCTGTATTAGTTTTTAACTTTTTAATGATAATTTTTTAAATAAAATTACTATTAAAAAAAAGAAATCCTAATCTTCAGAATATCCCCAAAATGGAACAGTTGTACAATACAAGGAGATATAAACAAGTTAGCCTACGCTTGATTCCAAACCTATGTTCTCCCAGAGAGCCTATGAGGAGGTGGACCTATTTTTCAACTATGCTACTTCAGCCTACAAGTGGGTTTTGAAGTGACTCAATGCACCTTTGTACAATAACCACAAAATATATTGCGCAAAGAAAGCTAGACATGGTGAAGAAGTGTTTTCTCTAATAGTCTATGTAGAATACATTTTATTATATGTTTAGTCACTGAATGCTCATCTGTCATGAAAAATGAACGACTGGAGTTACAGTAGGGAATACCTTGCCTTTAATGAATTGTAATTAATCTGATGAATCAGTACTTGCTAGACAAAGTATCCCTTTTAGATGATAAAAGTGACTGGCATAAAACCTATCCTAGTAGGAATTTATTTAAAATCTCAAACCATAATTTCATAACTTTTTAAGTTAACCAATAATTATTTGACTCCTCCTTGGAGAACTCAAGCATAATCCCTCCCCTCCTAGAACTAGTTAATTCCATCCATACTTTTGGGAAATCAAATGCATTGCAAACTCAAAGCAATTATGGTGCTTTTTTGATAAATTCAATATTGGACAATTGAGGAAATGTCCAGAGTGCCCGAAATTCAACCTCTGAAGATATGCAAGAATATCCTGACCATTCCTTAGCTCCATGTGTAAAACCTCCTTCCTTATCAAAAGGAGTGGTTGGATGAAAAGCACATGATGCTTCATGCCACAATTGTAGCAACCTTTACCTTCACTGATAAAGGGACAAGAACAAGCTGGAAGACATGGATTTTGAGAATTTTAGTGTTGCTTCCCTTAGCAGTGATGAACAGAGGTTTGCGATGCATGTGCAGATAGAGAAGTACAGCTTAGAAGTTGCAGCCAGTTGAATGAACATTCTGCAATTGTCCATGGCCACCACAGGACAGGAAGGCCTGGCGCAATATGGTTCATGGGGTCACGAAGAGTCGGACACGACTTAACGACTGAACAACACCACTTGGGCTCCTAAACACCTCCCTGCTAAAGCCTATAGTTCTTTGGACTAGGAAATAGTATTAATAATACTAGTTCACACCCACAGTAATTTTCTACTAAGATTATTTAGAGTCCTATACTAGAGAATGAAAAAGATCTGAAGCCATACTTGAACTGGCAATTGACAGTTCATTATACATCAGTGTGGAAAAAGAGTTGTTTGCTAAGAGGATCTTCTCTTTTTCAATGTTATGTCCCTAAGATGAGAACATTCCCAACTCCAGACATCTGTATTTTTCTAGCAAAACACTGGAGTTAGGGTTGCTTTATGAATAAGCAAGTAGGACTCTTTAGTTTGATTTGGGAAATGCAGACATAATTCTAGCCTTGAACATTAGGGAGTTCTGTTATATTACTGTAAGTCAGGGTGATCAAGGCATCTTTCTTGGCAATCAGTAATCCAAAGTGACTTCTTAAATCTTTTTTTTATCTCATACTGGGAGCAGAACACACAATTAGGTATTTGAACAAATGAATGCTTCCCTAACAAAAACATTCATAGCTATACCCATCAAACAAGACATTTCCTGATGTATTCGTTTTTTCCCAAAGATCAGGATTCTTCCCCCTCTCCCCCATACATACTTCCCCACACAATATGGTGTGATTAATTCTCTCCTGTGTTCTGTAGAGTTACCATCTAAGTGTAGGGATCCTATTTCTACCGGTCTTTATGCCCTGTTCTCATATTTTGTGTCTGACTTGCGAACAGAATGAACAACCTACCAATTCTGAGAACCTCTTCCCCTGAGATACAGAATCAGGTTTTGAATTTGCTACATTTATGTCTTGACAGAGGGAAGTTTGCCTGTGGCAGTGACAGTAAGCACATCTGTGGCTGTGACTATTGGTGGGAAGACAGGAATTGCTGCAGGTAGGACTTGTTTCAATGCATTTGAAGTTGGGGATAACCTTGGGGAGACCCTCCATTTGTTTTTATTTCTTTATTTGCCTGAATACAAATAGTCTCTTCTGGAAATTGGCAGAAGGTCCATCAGTTCACTGGGCAAAGCATGGGATTATCATATCAGATAATCACTAGATGGCAGCAAAGAGATACAGAAAATGCTTTCCTGCCATCCAGTGGTCATTTGGCTTTCTGCATCCTGCTGTGGAAGCCCTAACAAAAAGTCTCAACATTTACAGCAGGGTTCCTCAACCTCAGCAACTTTAAGATGGGTGAGGAATTCTGGGAGCTGAAGTCCACCCATCTTAAAGTTGCTGAGATTGAGGAACCCTGATTTACAGTATAATGCAAATCCTTGCTATTAAAACTAGGCCTGAGTTTTATGACACATGTATCATTTCAGTGTCCTTTTTCTGTTCAGCAATATCACCTCCATGTTTTCCTACTTTTACATAATTCCACCAAAACAAAAACAAACAAAAAGCAAAAATCCTTCACTTAATTTTCATCCAAGATCAGAGTTGCCTGGGGGCTCATATGACAATATGGAATAGCCCTCACAGAAATACTGGGATGCTGCTGTGCATAATAACCGCATCAAAGATAATGTTTACTTTTGCAGTGACCATTTCCACTCATTCATGTAAAAACTGAAAACTACAAATGTTCAGCTTACCTTTGTATACACCGTTTAATCTTTATGAATCAGTGAACTGGCATGGATGTTTTTGAAAGAAAAGAGATAAAGTGTGAGTTTTGAAGGCCTCTTTCATGCCCTTTAAAGTGGTTTTATTATAGTCAGGGTTTTGGGGAAACGTAGCCTGATAATTAGGACTTTCAAGTCAAACCAAGCCATGCCACATCTCAGAAGATAATAGTAGTGGAAAAGCAGATGGTGTGGAAAGACTGAAGGATGAGAATTAAAAAAGAGACTAAGTGGAAAAATCATGAAATTTCAGAAGTGTCGCCAAAAAAAAAAACAAAACCCCTAGAAGATAAATGCTCAATCATGTGCATGGTGACATCTATTTATAACATCCAAGCAGAAACATACATGGAGTACATGTCAGGTTTGCTATCAGTACAGCCTTAGATGAATTTCTTTGTAAGATCTAAAGCTACTTTGAGAAGCAGGGGGTTGAGAGAAGAAAGAAGGCAAGGAGCAAAGACAGGTCTTTGTAGAGTCTTGCATCTCTGCTAGGAAATGGAATAGGCAAACGCTGAAGGATCTCCATGATCAAGAACTTGGACAGGTAGGAATAGCCAAATATTTGTTTCTAGTTCTGAGTAAACTTTATTTATTTATCTTACTTTATTTAATCAGATTGTATGGCTACCTAATTTGCCACAGTGACTCTGAGTGGCTGACAACTTATAAAAACATAAAAAAAATAAACATAAGCAGCAATATATGCAGCCTCAGATCCGTCACATATATACCCTGAGGGTATCTGCTCCTCCCACCAGGTCAGATAGGATGGGCATGCTCCAGGTCCCTTCCCTTAAATGTTGTCATCTAGTGGGACCTAGGAAACATGCCTTCTCCAAAGCTGCTCCTGCCCTGTGAAACACCCTTCCCCCAGAGATCTGGCAGGCTTCCAGAAAGCCTTGAAAAGCTGGCTCTCCCCACAAGCATTGGGGTAGGACAGTGTTTTTCAAACTTGACAACTTTAAGATGTGTGGACTTCAACTCCCAAAATTCCCCAGCCAGCATGCAGGAATTCTAGGAGCTGAAGTCCACACTTTTTAAAGTTGTGAGTTTGAAAAACATTGGGGTAGAACAAGGCTGGAACCCAGCAAGATAGTAGGTGGGTATGTGGGAAAGTGTTGCCTTTGGATGCCATAAGTTTTTCTTGAGCTTTTCTTGAGTTTTTCTTGAGTTCTTATTCTGATTGTTTGGGAATTTTTGCTGTTTTTACCGTTTTGTGAGCTGCCCAGGATTATGATTACCATATGAGCAGCTATGTAAATCTTTTTTGAATACATACATACATACATTAATCAATAAATGACCACCAATGGCAATATCCACAACAACAAAAACCACAACATCTCATGGATACAAACTAACCTGCCAACCCCCATAGCCAGGAATACAACCAAGTCTTCTGGTTTTCTCTGTTGTTATTCTGGTTCCCTCTCAATAATGCGATTCCTATAATGTTACCTTTGAGTAAATTCTAGTCTTTTCCAGCTGAAATCACCTTGGAGGAATACTCTCTTTGAAATAGCCTATACTGTACCTTTTCAAGTGAATCAGAAAGCCCGTTTAATATTGTAATCCTCCTTTGGTCTCCGAGCAAACATTAACTAAAACATAATTATTACTTATAGCTTAATTAAAACTTTATCTCCAGAGGGGTGTGTGTGTGTGTGTGTGTACGTACCTAGAGCCTTTTGCTAGCAACAGCATTCTCTGGAAATGACAAATATGAAGTATTTAATATCAGAAATGCCTCTCTCTGCCCCAGATAGCATGACTGAATGTTCTGTCATGTGGATCAATCACCTGGGGCTTCTGTATTGGAGAGAAGAGGCTGGACTGACATTGCAGTTGCTGAGAGTTTTAAAGTCCCAGAGAAACCACTAGAATCTGCATCTCCTTGGTCTTTGTGTGTGATGGGTGTATCATGTTGTTTTGAGTAGTATGGTTTGCAAGAGAAACATTTGCTTACTATATGATAACAATTTCAAGCATGAATAGACCAGTGTGTGTATGTGTTCATGCATGTCTACCAGTTGCATGTTATATGTGGGTATATACTTATTTTAAAGAATGCTATAGGTTCCTGCTGCATATGGAATCTGGATCCAAGCTTCTCCCAGCCCAAAGGATTTCTAGAGTTCAAGACATTGTTTTGCTGATCCCACATCACCAAGGGATCTTGCTTTGATTGCTTGCAAATTAAAAACAAGAGTGGTATGAGCAACTGCATACATAAGTTCTTCTCAGCTCTTCTGAAATGAATCCTAGCTGCATTTGCAAGCTGTTGTTGTTGTTTTAGGCCAAATGGATTTCAAAATTCAATGGGACAAACGTTACTGAAGTGCCAGTGTATTCTTTCCGTTTTGTAATTTTTTTCAAAAATGAATTGCTGTGAATTGCTTTGGGGGTTTTGCAGTGAGAAGCGATCTACAGCTGTTTGTGGATTTTTTGCTTTGTTTTTCTGAGAAATAAGGAAGGAAGGCAAAATCATTGCCACTGGAATTTCCACAGATGGGCATAAGAGCAGAGAATTTCCTGTTCCTGGCTGTAACAGCTTGTAGCAACCGTTCCTTGCTTTGCCTTCTGCATTGGACTACGGGGAGCCATTGGCAGTGACATAGCAGTGTGGGGTAAAACTGTTAACTGGCCGTTGCTGTGTGATGATATAGTTGAACTTCAGAAGGGCACAGATCTCAGACAGACTTTGGCTTGTACCATTCCTGCACCGGGTGGGCAGGTGGGGGCGTACAGGGGAGGAGTTGCTGGATGTAGGTTAACTGTTGGGAATGAGGTGGATATTTGCAGTTCCTACAGTCTTCTCTGTGCAAAGAAAATGATACAGAAATAACTAGAATTCTTGCAGCCTTTCTTCCCGCTAACAGACAATATTTTGTTTATTAGTCTTTATATCTTTTGTATGTTCATTTTGACCAGAAAGGAAGCTCATCTACAGAAGGTCATTGAACACCCATAGATTTCTGCCCTATCTCTTCGCTCCCAAATTATTTGATATCGTTTTAATTCTAAGCAGAATCAGAGTAGAGAAGGAGGTTGCTATGGCAACTGTTTCCTTAAGCCTTTGGTCTGACTCATTTCAGACAATTACTCTCATGCTCCAGGATGCATAGATGTGATAGAGGAGAATCACGTGCTGGGCTTTATTTCCTTTTCTTCTTATCCCAGGTATTAACTTTCCAAAAGTCATGGTAACATCCCTCTAGGTTCCCAGCTTTTGGGGCTGCTGGTATATTGAGAGCATAGGTCTGGTCATGAGTATTACTCATGTGGACTATGTCCTGGTTATGTATGTAGTGATTTCCTATGTTTCCATGATATATATGCACAAATGTGAAAATGTGTGTAGATTCTGTGAACAGTAAAACGTTTTGTAAGTTCCTAACTTCTTAGACTGACATGAGTGAATGCATAAAAATATATGTCAAGGATGTAAAGGAATTTAGACATAAATGTATATGGTAGATTATAAGAACATAAGAAGAAGCCAGAGGGGTGTAGTCTTTAAGGTGTTAGGCTAGGACCAGGGAGATTCTGAGGGGAGATTCACCCTCCATCATGGAAACTCTCTCTCTCTTTTGGCTGCCTGTTAATACTCAGTCCGGTTTCTCTCACAGAGGTGTTTTGGTGGGGGTAAGATAAAAATGGATCCTCATGCAAGATGCCTTGATCTTGGTGAAAAGGTGGGATATACATCTAATAAAGTAAAATCATGCCTTTTGGATCAGACAAGAGGCCTACCTGGTGACTAGATTCAAATCTAAGAGCCAGTGTTGCATAGTAGTCAAAGAAATCTCTCTGGAAAGTTTACCACCAAAGTGTTAGGCCAGTCTTCCCCAAACTAGCAACCTTCAGTTGGGATCGGTCTGCCCAAATCGGCTGGGTATTCTGGGAGTTGTGGTCCCAAACCATCTGTAGAGTGTTAAGTTGCTGAAGTCACTCCCATAGTTCCTCTACAGTAATTAATGTTAAGTGATACATTGTCTCTGAACATGGAAATTTAACATAGCTATTTGTTATACTTTTTCATTATTTCCAAATATTGTACCTCCAGATATCATTCGAGGGACAATATTTCTCACCTTTGGTCATCTTAGCCATGATCACTGGGAGCTGCAGTTCAGCAACTTCTAGAGAGCTACAGATTTCTTATCTTTGGTCTCAGATAGTGGCCATCACCACATATCGTGGCAATGAATTCCCTATTGGTGAGGAAAGTACTTTATGTTATTGAAATTGAACCTAA